ATGCAAATCAAAACCACATTGAGAAACTATCTCACGCCAGTTAGATGGGCAATCATTAAAAAATCTGGAGACAACGGATGCTGGAGAGGATGTGGAGAAATAGGAAGACTTTTATACTGTTGGTGGGAGTGTAAATTAGTTCAACCACTGTGGAAGACAGTGTGGCGATTCCTCAAGGATCTAGAACTAGAAATCCCATTTGACCCAGCAATCCCATTACTGGGTATATACCGAAAGGATTATAAATCATTCTTTTAGAAAGACACATGCACACCAATGCTTACTGCAGCACTGTTTACAATAGCAAAGACATGGAACCAAACCAAATGCCCATCAACAATAGACTGGATAAAGAAAATGTTATACACCATGGAATACTATGCAGCCACAAAAAAGGATGCATTCATGTCCTTTGCAGGGACATTGATGAAATTGGAAACTATCATTCTCAGCAAACTGACACAAGAACAGAAAACCAAACACCACATGTTCTTACTCATAAGTAGGTGTTGGACAATGAGAACACATGGACATAAGGAGGGGAACATCACACACCGGGGCCCGTCAGGGGATGGGGATCTAGAGGAGGGATAGCAGGGTGTGGGGGATAGGGGAGAGATAGCATTAGGACAAATACCTAATGTACATGACGGGGGGATGGATGCAGCAAACCACCATGGCACGTGTACAGCTGTGTAACAAACCTGCATATTCTGCACATGTACCACCACAGAACTTAAAGTATAATTAAAAAAAAAAGTTTTAAGTGGGTAAGTAGGGCTCCCATTACTCTCAGAATTCAGTGCAAACAGCATTATACCTAAAGCCCTTCCTGGCTTGGCCTCTGTCTATCCCTAAAGCCTCACCTACTGTTTCTATCACTTCCATTTCATGTACTGCAGGGCAGCCTGAACTACTGTCAGTTCTTCTCAGAATATGCTTTCTTTTGCTTCTATATTTTGGAACATGCATGCTACACACTCCTGCCTGGCCAGGCCAAACAGCTAGCTCACTCATATTTATTTTCCAGAATTTGGCCAAGAGTGTTGCATTTTTAAGAAGGCAACCCTATACATTTTAAATCAGTAAATTATATGTGGATTATATCTCATAATGTTGGGCTTTTTTTGTTCTTGTTTCTTTTGAGATAGAGTATCCCTCTGTCACCCAGGTTGGAGTGCGCGGCGTGATTTTGGCTCACTGCAACCTCTACCTTCTGGCTTCAAGTGCTTCTCCTGCCTCAGCCTCTAGAGTACCAGGGATTACAGGTGTCTACCACCACGCCTGGCTAAGTTTTGTATTTTTAGCAGAGATGGGGTTTCACCATATGTGCCAGGCTGGTCTCAAATTCCTGACCTCAAGTAATCCACTTGTCTTGGCCTCCCAAAATGCTGGGATTGCAGGCATGGGCCTCCACATCTGGCCTGCAATTTTTTTTTTTTAAGAATGCATGCCTTTCAGCATTCTTATGTAGGGTTATACACACCTTCCCCACATGCCTACTTTCACAACATTCACACTGTGTTGCCATCTGCTGGCTCATCTGGCTCCTTAATTAATTAATCTTCACTTTCTCCTCAATCAGTACAATGTTCAGTACAAAATAGATACTCCATAAATACTGTTGAATAAATAATAGAAAGAATGTAATCCTTAAACATAGCAATTCATGGTTGAAACAAGTTAGAATAAATCTACCCAGTGTTAGATTTGAGTTTACAGTTTCCTGAATCGAAGATAATTAGGTATAATTTACTGCTTAGAAAGTAAATTACTTTTAGGATTGAATTACTTTTAGGGTTGACAAATACTAGCTTTCAAATTCAAAGTATTGACATGTGAATGTACTTGTACTTTGACGTAATATAATCATTTCCCAAGAAATTGTAGTCCTAGACATTAATTTTAATTCTGGCTGTTAGTGTTCATATGTATCAATCTGCTTACAGGGATGAATCACCATTAGACTGACATAAGCTGTGTTTAATTAGCTTTAAAGTATTTTTCTAAGAGCTTCTGTCCTTCCATCTGAAGCTCCATTAATTTTCTTGGCTGCCGTATTATAGAATAAAGTGAACATGCCCTTTATAGTAGAGCCAAGTCATTCATTACAACTCCTTAAAATCATTACTCCCACACAATGGAAGAATCTTTATTTGTGTCACAAAATACATAAACTTTAGGGATTTTTTTTCTATTTTCAAAGCTTTTCTACAAGTGATAAGAATCAATTTGCACAGAATAATAAAAACCAAGTTTTCATTAATTGTAGAAATTTAAAAAAAAAATAGCTTGTAATGCTATCTGCTCTTATTTGGAAGAAAATACAGACCAGAAGAATTGTTTCCAGACATCAGCAAATTTGAGATGCTTAACCTATTAATTGCTTTCCTAAGAGGCTGCATTTCCTGGCACAGGAAACTTGACTTCCTCTTTGCCATTCATCAAGAAAGAGAGGGGAATGGAAGAAAAGAAGTAAAGAAGGCTCTTCTGTCTTCCCCAATCCATTGAGCTGGAATAGGTGAGTCTTACTCACTAACTGCCAGTTTTCCATCCACTAGATTTAGAAGGAAAGATTTCATCTCAATAAACTCCGCTACCCCAGGCACATTATTGCCTGCCTCAGCACCTTGTTTGTCTATCTTTTTCAACCTGGTAATTTAGTTAGGCAGTCACTGTTTCTCTCATCACTGAAGCTAAACATTATAAGGATGTAATGAATATTGGAAGGAAAGAAAAAAAGAAAAAAAGGAAATGGTTAAAATCTAAAGGGCCACACTCCCTGAAATGGTAAATTATTCTAATGCAAAAACTCTACACAGGAATAAGTTTGAATAAAGTGGGAGCAGGCAGGGCCAAAACAAACCCAAATCAGTGTCTTCTTGGGGATAAAAGTGAGAAACCAGCAACCGTGGGAAAGGAAAACATCATCTAAGCACTCCTCGTTTTATATCTAATATTTCTTTTCTCTGTTTAGGTTTTATTAAGAGATTTCAATAGCATTATGTTCAAAGTAAATATGTACTCCTCATATTGAATTATGGTCTACACAGACTTTCTGGTCAGCTTGCCCTTTATAACATTGTTTCTATGGGAAAATGAGTTACAGATTCCAAATAACTGACTCACAAACGTTTACAACAGTCACATCCTAAATTATACCCAAGGTCTCATGTCTATTGTCTCTTATTTCCCTCTTCCTCTTTTTCCTTCTCTTCTTCCCATTCACCTTTCTCTCACCTCTCTTTCTGTTTCTTATTTTCTCTCTGTCTGTCTCTCTCTCTCTCTCTCTCTCTCTCTCTCACACACACACACACACACACACACACACACACATTATACTCTGAAACAGTAACATAAACAATCACACCCAGCCTCATATCCAGTTACCAAGTCTCATAATCCTTCTTAAATAACAGCAAATATGGCTCAAAGATGTTGAGCTCTCACTACCCTATTGAACTGACTCCATGCCTATTAATGCCCACTCGAGGACTTCTACTTCATACCTAGTCTGTCAAAACAGCCTGCTAACTAGTGCCCTGTTTCCTGTTTCTTCTCCTTTCCAGTCATTCCATGCACACCAGAAGCTCATAGAGTGCCTCCAAAACACTTCTTTTTACTATGTTATCTTTTTTTCTCACAAAACTTCAATGACAAATGAATAAGGTTTACTTTTCAAACTTGCAGTCAAGAATCTCCGTTTTATGGTCCTAGCCACGTTTCTATGTTTACTTTCTAACACCCCACAGGGACCCTTTCTCTGCAGATTCAGGACCTCATTAAGATCATTTTATTATTTCCTGGGCACACCTTTAAGCATCTCACATATGTGTCTTCATTTAGATTAGTTCTCTCTCTCTCATCTTCCTTTCGTTCTCAGTCACCCTTTCATGAACAAATCTAGCCAAACAATTTTTTAAAATTTCCCACGTAAGCATCACAACAACCCTATGAAGTAAGCATTATAAGCATCTACACCATTCACACTTACAGAAAGATATACAGGGATGTGAAGGGGCTTCTTCAAGTTCACACTGTTGAAATGTAGCAGTAATATTCTCCAAACTCTGGATTTCTGACTCCATATCAGATTCATATTTGGCACATACTATAAACAATGGGTAATTATGTGTATCATTTTTTCAACCTTCCAAATTAAATTATAAGCTCCCAGAAGACAATAGCATTATACAGAACTTGCCCCAGTGCATAATCATACACAGGAAGAAATTCAATGAAAATTTTATCAAGTAACTCTAAGAGCAGCTTAATCCCTCTACCCTATTTAGGAAGCGTTGGTGGTACCTCTCTCCTTTTTGCATACAATATTTAAGGTCTGAAATCTCAACTGAACACTTTGTGATAAATGGCAATGCATCTCAGCTACTACTTCACTTCTTAACCTAGCTCCCCACAAAGCAAATTTCAGATTTCTTGAGGGTAGGTACATTTGATGAATAAAATGCGATCCGCTGGTATTTAAACGTTGGACATGAGTTGTAGGAATAAAATTTGGGGGCAAACTATATTTTTAAAACTTACCTGAAGTCAAGAATCACCTGGAACACTTGCTCAAAATATAGATATCTAGGATTCAGATTCAGTGCTTTAGTGTTTTCTTAGTCATGTTTCTCTACCCCTGATTTTTATTGAGCACAAAATCCCAAAGAGCATACTATGAAACAATAGATGAGTAGTAAAGTGACATGGACTAAAAGCTCAGCGGCAGACCATGATGTTTGTGTTAACCACGCATTTGTTCGGGCATGAGTGCTTGCGGTTGTGACTCATACTGTTTGCAAAATTCTTCCTGGTTTCTGAAAGAGGATTCAACATTTTGATATTTTATGGTGTTTCACAAAGAGCTTCTACAATATCGGAAATCTGGAAGTCACTGGACAAATAATAGGGCATCTGGGAGAAGAATTTCAGGAGTCAAAGGATTTCATAACAGGAAAAGAACTTCATCTTTTAGAAGTAAATGAGAAGGTACTCACAGGTTCTCCCCGTGGTCCATCCTGCCCCGGAGCACCAGGGGATCCTGCTTCTCCCTTTCAATGAATTGAAAAAAGAAAAAGAGAATTCAATTTTCCAGTCTGCTTACTAAATAACAGTATATAACATCACATATTAAAGAACATTAGATACAAACAGAAAAGTATAAATTACTTCTGGATTATTGATATTAACTTTTCCTGACATCAAATAGCCTTTTCAGAAATTCATAAAGTGACGATATAAACAACAAAAATGTGTATATAATGGCAGATAATTAAGTTAGAAAATAACTGTGGTACTGTATAGTCATTCTTATGAGAATAGACCATCTTATCTCCAAAGTAAATGTAACCAATATTCAGTATCAGTCTTATTCATATTTACTTTTTCATTTTTACCTTAAAATTGATCATTATATAGAATCTAATTTGACCTTGCCTCCAAAGAGTTTTATTTTAAGGTCAAAATAAAACTGTTATTAGGAGCGGAATTATTTACAGATTATTAGTTGAAATTATCTGGCACTTTAGTGTATAACTTTTTAAAATAAACATCTTAAATGCATATTTTAGGTAGCTGTTACAATTGTAATTGTTTTTAGTTATATGTATGTTTACATTACTAGGCTCAGATTAAGCATCTTAGTTTACAACTACCTTTTGGTAGCTCAATTTTTTTCCCAAATGAATCAATTGCTAGTAAATACAAATGTATCTGATGCTTTATCTACTAAAACAATAAATATTAGCTAAACATAATTGTAAAATGTATAATAACTGCAGATTAGGACAACTATTAAACTGTCTGAGCAAAATAAAGGATAGCAAGGGAAGAGCCTGCTGACATACACACATGTACAGACCCCCAGACTCTTTGAAACCTAGCAGTCAATACGAGTCATGTATTTGTTTCTGTCCAGAAAAATGCTGCATCATAACAAGCAAAGTTCTCTGCAAGCATTTTGCCATACTTGTTTCATACCAGAAAGAACATTTTATCCTAGGTGAAAGCAAGAGAGGAAGTAAAATAAAAGCATTTTCCTGTACATGTCTCAAAAACCTGAGTTGAAATAAGTTTAAGGGGGAAACAGTCTCAGAATGTAATGCACTGAAGCATATTACAACACTGTCATCCATAATTTCATATTCTAATGAATTTCCCAAATTATTGAAAATGAAGCACAGAAGAGTCCCTAAAACTTGGCAAGCATAATCAGCACTTAGAAAAAATCCATCCATATCACATTATATAAACAACAATTCTCCCACTTGCATGAATTCCTGCATTTTATTAGAACAGAAAAATATCAACTAAAGCCTAATATTTCATCTGCACGAGTTTTATTTACAAACACTAGATGATAGTTGAGGATAGAAGGAGCAAAGAATAATGATTTCCTAAAAAATAACCAAATTAGAGAGAGAGAAGTTATTGGTAATCCAATAGTTCTACAGAAAAGCATATAAAAATACCCAAGGAAAAAATGTTGGATCCACTTAGTTTGAAAGTTACAGTTTAAAAAACCTGAAAAATTCCAGACAAGGGATGTGTCAGGTCCTAATACTACAGAGAAACAATGAAATATTTTTATCTGAACTCATTACTCGTATCAATAGTGAGAAGAAATCTCTCATATTAGTAATTCTCAAATATGGTCCTCAGACTACGCAAGATCAACTTCTTCATTTCACGTGAGAACTTCTTCGGAACGTAAAATTTCAAGCTATACCATAGCATACTAAACCAGAATCTCTGGGTGGGGGCCAGCAGTCTGTGATAATAATTCTTCCAGATGATTCTAATGCAGCCATTTGAAAACCAGCACTGCTATAAGTCATTAGATCATTTAACTTCTCCTACTTCCAGATACTGTCAGATGTGACTTATAAAACAATCTGTAGTTTATATTTTCTTTATATAAAATAAAGAGGTTAAAGAAGTTACTGAATAGTAGAAACAATTAATTGAAAATTATTAGGTTGGTGCAAAAGTAATTGCAGTTTTTGCCATTAAAAGTAACGGCAAAATACATGATTAGATGACTACTTCGATTTATAAATAAAATCTCTGCTTTTATCTTTTTGTCCAGTGACCTAATATTATTTTATTTTAATTAGCTGCAGTTAAAAAAAACATAACCAGACATTAGCAAGGTTTATCAATAATGAATTCCATAGTTATTTGAGGATTTAACTTACTGTGTTCTTCCTACTTTATATTAGACACTTAACATAATAACTGAATAAATTATCATATTCTTTATTTTCTATAGCAGTGATTCTCAAAATTTAGCTTCATCTGAATTACCCTGGAAGGTTTGTTAAACTGCAGACTGTGGGCCCCAACCCAGAGTTCCCGATATGGTAGATCTGGGGCAAGTCCCCCAAATCTGCCTCTCAGATGACTTTACAGAAGGCGCTGAGACTGCTAGAATTGGGACAGCACTTTGAGAAACACTACTCTAGCCCAGATCTCAAGACAGACCTACAGACTCTTTCTGCACTGACGAATTCCTCTCTTCTATGAACTACTATAGCATTGTAAAGCTTTTCACTTAGCACTGAATTTTATTATTGCTAGGATGTTCAGCATGTGTGTTGTTTATATATGCTATTTGCTTGACTTGCACATTCTTTAAAGGTAGAAAACTTAATTTATATGAGTTTTTTTTAATCACCTACAATACTTAGACTAGAGCCAAACATAATATAGAACTACAGATACCCTTCTTTACAATCATTGGAGCATACCAAGGAAGGAGGAACAGACTATTTATTCTTGTTCAGTTTCAAAGAGATAAAGGAAATGGGAAAAACATGTGTAGATAAAGTTCTACCATTTACTGTTGGACAATTATGCAGTTAGTTATTACAAGATAATGGCTAGTTACCCTTACCTAGGAATATTCCCTTCATTTTTTAATAATGGATTTTAATAATATTTCATCAAGAAATGAAAAGATAATTTCCACTTGGCATTTTCCTTGAAATAATCAAATGCAAGATAGAATCAGATTGTGAAACTAAGTATTCTAACCAGAACTTACCCTGATCACTTGATTGCTTTTATGACCTGGATAACCTGGTGCAGATCAATTTGTTTGGCATTTGAAAAAAGCATACAACATGGCCCCATCTCCAACTTAGTGTTTTTCTATTCTGTTATTAACTCCCTTCTTGGTATAATATAATTGAGAAAGTGTCATGCTTAACATTATTCCCCAATCAAATTTCTATAGCACAACAAAACAGTTATTGAACAAAAGGAAATTTAACTAAAACCAGACACGAAACTTGCAATGCATGTGTATTTCCTTTCACGCTATGGTCTCTGGTATTTACCCGTAAAAAACAAAAGGATGGAAAATAATTTGGTTTGCTTATAGCAATCCTGAAAATCAGGTGGGAGATACGGTTTACTGATCATGAAAATACAATTTAATTTTGAGGAAGATCCTTGCTTTGTTATCAAAGAAACACTTCATTTTGACTTTGATCTTATGGCATATTTCAGTCTTCATTTGTAAACAAATCTCTAGCATGACTGCAGATGTACTGAAGATGTAAGGGTGAAGAAGTTTCTCCTGGCTGGCCAAGTAAACAGACAGGACATTTGGAAGGCATCATGCACACCACTGAGCACACAAGCTAGACCTGCAACCCTCACTCTCCATGAAACTGCACATGTTTGGCTGAATCCCTTCATCCCTCTGAACCTGATATTGTGCGTAAAAGGCCATTAGTATTCCAAGCTTCTTCAATTTTGTTTTTTAAGAAAATAAAGTAAGAGCCTTTGTGAAAATGCCTTATGCAACTCTCAGCATAGAAAGGGAGATCCACTGCACCAAAAAGTTGAGGTTTTAACAATCCTTTATTCATGACGTATTTTCAGCTGTATTGTTTTCAAATAATATATGCTATTTCGATACTTGAACTGCTATAGTTTGTCATTATAATTCTGGCAAAATGAGTATTTTTAAACATAAGGCCAATTCTTCTTTATTCTAGTTAAAATATCATTAAAAACATTAGGGCCACCAGTTTCCTCATTATTTTCTAAACTAGGAGAGAATATTCGGGTATAAGATGATTTCCAACAAGTTGACGAGCAGACTTTTCATTGGTTGTTAAGTTACGGCTATGTCACCTTGGACAAGTTATTTACTCTAGTTCTTTGTTTCCTCATCTGTGAAAGGCTAAACTTTTTCCTCTTACAACTCATGATTTATGAGATTAATGAGAAAATGCACGTACAGTGCTGTAAAAAGAGCCAAGCTCTTGGAAAGTATCCAATGAGTTACGCCGTTTGTTATAATCTGTCCTTTCCTGTCTTTGCTTCTTTGCATATCCAGCTTAAATACCATATTTAATTATTCCAACCGCATTCTAACTAAAATTCTTGCCCTTTACCTCACTCTGCATCCACTGTGCTGGTTTATGCAAATTCCAGTGCTGAGTAAACCAAACTGAAAACAGCCTCAGCCTATGCTTATGTTCTAAGTATGGCTATGGAGGAAAAATACTATTACAATCATACAGATTATAACTTCCAGTTTTAGCTGGACTGCATGCAACTTCTATATTTCCTTTATCTCCTCTCTGCCACATTTTTTATGTATGTAGAAAGTTTCTGATACATAAAATATTCTCCAATCAACGAAAGCTTTTTTTCTCCTTTTCCCAAAAGGTTACAACTCCCACATTCTAAGAAAAAATGGGAAACAAACATTCTGCCACCAAACCAACAAACACACTTACATGCACTTGCACCCATCCATTCCTCTTTTATTTTATTACAGTAAACAGGGGTCCTTCATCCAATCTAAGATAATTCCTTATAACTCTGTTCTATATCCCATTCCTTCCCCTTCTCCAAATAAGATGGAGCTCCTCATCTGTATATAACTGCTTACTAAATATCTTCCCTTGGATGTACCACAAGAATCTAAAATCAACACGTTACGTTTCTCACTCCTCCACATCCCCAGCAGAAAACACACCAAGTCCTATGCAGTAATCTCATTAACTAAAGAAACTGCTAACTTCATTCTACA